GAAAAAATATGATACAAATTTTGAGTGACCAGTTGACGAATATATGAAATGATACTATAGTTAGGTCTTTCGGCGTTGAGCGTTCCATTCCGGAATGCGTCACCGCTTTCGACTCTCATTCAGGGTCGTCGTGGCGTTTGGAAAGCGTATGTGAACTGTACAACGATTTGCAAGGGCCAGCCGATTTACAAGTCCTCCCAGACGAGTCTTCCCAATTACGTGACCCAGTGGGATGGAAGGCTTCATTGGCTGAGTATCACCAATGCCAGATTCGAGACTGCTACTTAGGACTACACAGTTTTGCCCCGGATTCGAAGATGAGCCAAATACCGATCAGCATGTTGTCCTCTTGATCCAGCCGGCCCTCATAAGCCTTGAAGCGTCTTCAGCACTTTCGAGCTCTATTTCGGGTAGTAAGCTTAGCAAATTCATCACTTCGAGTCAGTACCTTTCGGACTTCATCAGTCAGTTCAATGTGGCGTTAAAGTGCGATGCGACGCCTCTAGCCATTGCTCGGTGTCCGCTCGGTCAGGCCCATTTTATCTTTTACGACAACGTCACCGGTTATTGCCCTCTATCAGTTGCTTTCACTATATAACATGAATAGTTAATGATTATGAAATCACCAAACACCACCGATAAGTATTCTCTTTTTCCAACAGGCTGATAATCATTTATGATAGCTACTTATCATTCTCCCTTATTATCTACAACTTGGTGAACCCCTTATTCCGTATATGCACATAAACAAACGACATATTACTTGAGATGCCAGTTCATGGCTACCCATTTCTGCTATTCCTGCTTTCCTGTTTATCGTCAAGCGTACGCATTTAGTGGTAATGCTGCTGTGTAATTTGTTAGTGAGTAGAATGCTGTCCACAAGCAATGGAAAGAGAATTATTTTGTGAGACATGAAGATAATGAGTGTTTTCTGGTTGCAAGCCAGTTGGAAGCTAAGAGTATCGCTTACAGAAGCCTATGTATAAGATAAAGCCGAGAGGAGTAAAAAAAAGAGCGTTCTTCAAAAGCCTCGGGTTTCTGACTGTGGTAAGGGTAAAAAGATTGAATCCTTGGCTCTGGACCCTGTTTTATTGTTAGCAGTGCGCCGTTTGCCACTTTACCACCTCAAGCCATATGGCTGTATTAAAATTTCTGCCCCAGTTTATGGAATTTTGCATCAAAGCACATTTTTGTAAAAGAGGGACCAATAAGAGCTACGAGCATGTTAGTTGTCAGATTTGAAAACGAACTTATAGGAAGAGAAGGAGGGAGGAAACTGAGTTTCAAACCTGAATTCTACGATGCCGCATTCTAAGAAGCCTTTGGGGAGAAATTAAGTACACACATTGAGGACCGAAATGGCTTGCCCTCATCTATTGGTTCGATGGCAGTTATCCTATTGCTTCCAGCCACACTCAGGCTTTTTGTTCACTGCGGGAATTCATAGGGATGACTGCTTTGAACCAATAGA